TTAGCCTTGTGTCCTACATCTGCCTCTTCCCTTCATCAGATTATATCTGAATGTCTACCATGTGCTAGGCAGGCTCTAGAAGCACAATTCTTCCTCCTGAAACTCAGAGTTTAGTGAGTAAGGTAGGTAAGTAAATATAACATTTGAAAATATATGTTATTATAAGGGATTTATGAAAGAGGTCCTTTCAAAAGGGGCTTGGTGGTCCAGAAAAGACTTTTTGGAGTTTTACTCCAAGTGAAGGAGAAAGGGCATTATAGACAGAAGATGACAGAGGAGATTGGATGAAAAACATGGTGGGTTTTCAGGGATCCATGTGTGATTGAGTAGCAAGAGATAGGGCTGAAGGGCTAAGTGGGGTCATATTATTGTGTCCCTTGTTGGGGACTTTCTTTTTTTTCTACAGATCAGTGATTTAAAAAAATTTTTTTTCAAGTGATTTTAACAGCAGATTTTTTTTTAGTTAAGTATTGTATAGTAGGCCAATATAAAAATTAGGTTAAAAAGACATTTCATTTGTATTCATTTATTTTACAAATTAGAACAATGAAGATAAGGGCATTTGTTTGAATATAAAATTGATGGAGATTATAGATGACAGTTATGTCTTATATCAGCCTCAGCTTTGCAATTCTTTGATGTCTGAGTTTTGTTTGTTATATAGTAGCAAGATAATTTTGATTCACAGAGATAAATAGTTGCAAGTGGTCACAGTTTTAAAATGTTATCTGGGAATCTCAGGATTCCTAGTTCTATATATTCTCTCTCTCTATATATATATGTGTGTAAAAAAACACATATATATATTCCCTGTTCTATATATATTTTATATATATATATATATATACACACACACACACTCATATGTGTGTGTGTGTGTGTGTGTGTGTGTGTGTGTGTGTATTCATTCCCTGTTCTATATAAAGAAATGGAAGAGGGGCACCTGGGTGGCTCAGTGGGTTAAGCCGCTGCCTTCGGCTCAGGTCATGATCTCAGGGTCCTGGGATCGAGCCCCGCATCGGGCTCTCTGCTCAGCAGGGAGCCTGCTTCCTCCTCTCTGCCTGCCTCTCTGCCTGCTTGTGATCTCTCTCTGTCAAATAAATAAATAAAATCTTTAAAAAAAAAAAATGGAAGAAAATTTTGGTTCTTAGGTCTACACAAAACTGAAATTCTAGTTCTAGTCACTGTGAGGATATGATACCAGCAATTAAAACTGAATTCATCATTTCAAATTTCTTGACTTGGCCTCAAATGCATTCAGACCAATGTCATTTTATATTTAACAAAGTTGGAATAGTTCACAGAGATTCTTGTGTCCTCCCTGATTGCAACACATGTCACAGCTAGGTCATGCTACCACTCTTCTCCCTCAGTCAGGCTGAGGGAGAATGTATTTATGTATTTATTTAGTGAATGGCTTGTTATAGAGAAAAATATTCTTAATATTTCTCTGTCATTGTCAATGTATTTATTTAGTGAATGGCTTGTTATAGGAAAAATATTCTTAATATTTCTCTGTCGTACCATCACCATCCATTTATTTGTTTACTTAATTACTTTTCTGGTGGAAATAGATGCTAGATTCTTCCATGATTTTGAAGATAAATTATTTTGTTAATTTTCTAGAGCTGTACTAACAAAGTACCATAGATGGGGGTAGCTAAAAAAAACAGAAATTTATTTCTTATAGTTGTGGAGGTTTCCAGTCCAAGATCAGGTGTCTTGGATCAAGGTAAAGGTTTAGTTTCCTCTGGGGCCTCTCTCCTTGTCTTGCGGATGGCTGTCCCCTTGCTGCCTCTTCTTGTGTTTTTTTCTCTGTAAGTTTGCCTCTCTGGTGTCTCTTTGTGTGTCCAGATTTGGTGTCCTTATGAGAACACCAGTCAGATTGGATTAGGGCCCAAACTAATGGCTTCATTATAACTTAGTCATCTCTTTAAAGATCTTATCTCCAGACACTGTCACATTCTGAGACACTGGGAGTTTGAGCTTTAACAGGAACTTTGGGAGACGCAGTGCAGTCCATACAATGGTTAACTACTCTTCCTTGGGTCTTACAAAAAAGACAAAAATGACCTAAAAAAATTCAGGTTTTCTCTTTAGCTTCATGACTTCTCATTTCATTTGAATTTTGATGAAACTTAGAACCAGTCTTTCCCTCCCTCATGGGAAAAAGGAAGACACGTCTTCTCTCCATAAGCCATTATAGATAATGCAATATTTCTCAGCCTTTTCATTTTCTGAACACATAGGAGGGATGTCACACATCCACGACTAATGAATGGCTTACTAAGAGCTTGATCTGTTGAATCCCTTATTCCAAAGCTGTATGATTTGCCCAAAGTCTTATCTTCCTTAAGGATACTGTCTCTACTTTAACAGAGAGGTGTCAGGCAGGGCTACAGTCTCATCTGAAGGCCTGACTGGGAAAGAAATACAAGATCCAAGGACTTCCAAGATCACTCACATGATCTTTTGTAGCATGCCATTGCTCCTGGGTTGTTGGACTGGGGGTCTCAGTTTCTTACTGGCTCTGGGCTGAAGGACTCTTTCTGTTCCTTGCCCTATGGACATCTTCATAGTGTAGGTGGTGTTGTGAGCAGCTGGCTCCTGGCTGTTGGCTTCCATTAGAGCAATTGTGAGGGTAAGAGACTGAGCAAGACATGAGTAGTCTTCTTGTAAATTAATATTGAAAGTGGCATCCATCACTTTTGCTGTATTCAGTTCAATAGAATTGAGTCAGTAGGTCAGTAGGTCTAGCCCACCCTCCAGGGTGGGGGGATTATAAAAGGATATGAATATCAAGAGGCAGGGATCATTTGATGCCATTTTAGAGACTACCTATCATGGTCATCTTTAATCTGGAGCAATTTTTCTTTCTCATTCATCACAATGTACTCATTGGAGAGTACAGGTCAGCTATTTTATAGAATACTGATATGGGTTTGGCTTGTGTTTCCTCACAATTTAAATTTAAGTTATACGTTTTTGGCAGAAATATTATGAAATTACTGTGTGTCCTTCTCAGTTCATCTTATCAGAAGTCACATGATACCAGTTTGTCCCATTATTGGTGATGTAAAATTTGATTACTTGATTCAGTTGGTGGACAAGTATCTCAATGGCAAGTTTACCATTTTTTTTTCTGTATAATTTCAGATACTGTGTTTTTCAGTTCTATAATTCTCATTTGGATTTAAAAAATACTTTCTATTTCTCTGCTGAGATTTCCTTTTGTTTATATCACTGAGCATAGTCAAAATAACTCTTTAAAGTCTTCTTGACTTTATTGAATGTATTTCTAATAGCTCCTTAAAGTCTTTGACAGATAATTCCCACATCTGGGTCATTTTACCATTAACGCTGTTGATTTTTTTCCCCTTGAGAATTTCCCTTGTTAGATTTTCCTGGTTTTTCATACATCAAGAAATTTTGAAGTACTTGTGGTCATTGTGATAATTATGTTGTAAAGATTTTAGACCTGGTTTTATTCATTTGAAGAGTGCTGATCTTTTTATTTTATAGAATATTAATTTGATTAGACTTAAAGGTCAAATTCTGCCTCACTTGTGGAGATTGAAAGTTAAAATCTTGACAGTAAATATATTTTCTTGTTGTTGTTTTTATTATTATTTTATTTTTAACTTGAGCCGCAATCTTTTTGGAGTCTGAGCCATGTATAGGTAGTTTTGAGGTCAGCCATAAATTTGAATAAAGATATTTATTAATAGAATCAGGTTGCTACATCCATGGATCTCCCCCTTCTGTGAATTCCCACTCACTTTCTGAGGGCTCTAGTTACCGTGCCTTTATTCCTGGATCTACCGGCCAGAAACACCATCTGTGGGGAGGTAATTTGAAATGATGTAAATAATCTCTTTCTCTTCAAATTCTACTCAAATTCTTACCCATTGATGATCTCTAAGTCTCCATTGATGATTCTTTTGTGAATCAGTTATTGTGATGATCACAAAAGAGTGATTTTCTATCTTTATTATTTCTTCAGTATTTATTAGTTATCATTCAGGTTAAGGAAGGACTTCCCGAAGTTTCACTCCCCATTTATTTATTTGTGTTTATTATCAGTGTGTTTATTATCAGATTCAACTCTATGTTGAGCGATTTTGTTCATTAAGCTATCTTATTCTGTAATTTTGACATCTTCTTTGAATTTAGTTTTGTAATCTCTCTTAAATGATTTTTAATAATGTAATTTAATTATTAAATTAAATTAATTAAACAAGTTAATTTATAATTAATAATTTAAATTAAATAATTGCTTTAAAAATAAATTCTCATGACTTTTCCATTGACTCATGATGTTACTAAGCAAATTTTATCTGTAACAGTTGTGTTTTTGAATTAAGAATTTGTTCTGAGGGGTGCCTGGGTGGCTTAGTCAGTTGTGTCTGACTTCTGCTTGGGTTATGATCTCAGGATCCTGGGATGGGAACCTATATCGTGCTCCACACTCAGTGGGGAGTCTGCTTCTCCCTCTCTCTCCTTATGCCCCTCCCCCACTCATCCTCACCTCCCCCCAATAATTAAGTAAAATCTTTAGAAAAAAGTATATTCTGAGAGTTGGTAATCTTAATATTGAACAGTAAGATAACATAATATATAGTAAGAGAACCATGTGGTTTATCTAGTTTTTTATGGTATATACTCACTAAAATAGTCTTTGGCAATAGCAATTATGAATTACTGTTTTCAGAGTAGCATTTACTAAATATTGATTATATCATATATGATTTATAAACCACAAACTATGTAGTTTTTAAGATATTATTCTAAAAGGATCACAACCAATTCTGTAGTTGTACACACACATATTTGGGTGTGATTTACAGAAAGGAGCCTTTTCTTTTGTGTATCTACTAAATTATATATAGAAGTAATCTTAGGAAATGTTTTAAGGAAGCTCATTAGGATAAATATATAGCTTCTGAGGAAAGACAATTTATTGAAATATACTAATTTATGATTTGTTCTTGTTGCCATAGGTATTTTATCCCCCAGCCTTCTAAGATGGTAACCCAACTGGTGTCTAGAAGATAATTGCCTTTGAGGTTTGTTTGTTCAAAATTAAGTTTGGGGCTGGATTGTGCCAGTGCTGTTAAGAGAGGTGAAGATGAGCTGATCTAGAGAGGTGTTTGGAAATTTGAGTGATTCTGATTCCATGATTCTGTGACCTCCCTTTTGGTGCTCCTAGGTGATAGCAAGACCACTGATAGCAATGGTGGGCTGGTGCTTCAGGGAGGCTGGCCCTTATGTGAGGCTCTCAGGTTTACTATGGGGCTGCTCACCTCCAAGGGACTGAGTGGACTTAGACAATAGCCACATCAACTGTGAGTACAGAAATCTAAAGATGGGAAAAATGTTTTCCGAATGTCCTGGTATACACAAGATGCTTAGGATTTTTACAGAACCCAAAGGATAATAGAAACTTTTGAACACAAGATAAGGGATTAGATTTTACTAGATTAGAAAAAAAAAATAGTTATGCTACAATCATATACCTGAGGGCTTTGTGGTAAAATTGTTAATTGTTATACCTTCATGACAGCTATATGGAAGTTATAACAGACATTTATTTGCACTGGTTATTTAAGACTAATCCTTCAAGTTCTGAGGCCCATGACATTGTGGTATGAAAAGATATTTGGTATGTCATTGATGTGGTCAGAAGAATTGCTCTGTTTGCCTGTAGCTTCAAGTCTACTGATGAGCTGAGATTGCTGTAATCTTGTAATCACAAGTAACCTTGCTTAATTGGGTTAGTAAATTCTTCCCTAGTGGGCAGGAAACTTCAGTTAGCTGGGAAGCTTTAGTCTTGGGAACCCTTGAAATGAATTATGGAAACATTTAAGGGATTGAAAACCATTGTATTAATATTTTGTATTAAAAAGGAATCTAACATTTGTTATTTTTTTAATTGTGTATTTGTAACATTTAAGAGAACTTGAAAATCGCACTATTAATAAGCTTGTTAGGTGAATAAGTATCCAATTTTAGGAAGATTTTGTGTGTTAAGTCAAACTACTGACATATTTAAAAAGCATAAAGAATATATACATATATATATATTTTTAAATTTTTTAGAAGTTTTATTTATTTAAGTAATCTCTACCCCCAACATGGGACTCGAACTCATAACCCCAAGATCAAGCGTCTCATGTTTCTCTGACTGAGCCAGCCAAAAAGCATATGCCCTCAAAAGCATAGAGAAGCATGCATATTAAAGCGTAGAGCATTAATTAGTATATTCTCTATATATTAATTAATTGTATTGATTAACTGCATTAATTAATATATTCCCTATATATTAATTAATGCAGTTTAACATGTTTGAAGCTATTTATTTGTCAAGAGTGTATGTGATCTCAAACATAATTCAAAGAACTCTTAAGTTTCTGTTAAAACGTACTACACTTATAAATGAGAAAACTGTTTGCAAGCTGAAACTAAAAGCCTAATAAGAAGGGTATTTTTTGAATTTATGGCTTTAATAGGTTGAAATAATTTCAGTAAACAGTGATTTTCAGTAAACAGTGATTTTTTTTTTTTTTTTTTAATGTATAAAAATCACTCTTGAGGATACTGAAAGCCTGAAATCAACACAAAGGTAGAGTTCTGGAAGACTAGTTGCTAGGTAAAGATACTCAGTCTGTAGAAGAGAAAGCCCAGCTTAATGACTGTGTAGTTTTTCTGTTATTATATGCACTCTGCTTTGAAATTCATCCATAAACATGATACTGTCTTTGGAAACGTCAATAAGCAAGATAATTAAAATAGCCCAAGTAATATTCTTCCAAACTCGGAAGTTTTCTGAATCACACTCATATATATCCAGATATATGCATCCTTACGTTTGCTGGCAGCAATACGTGCAATCATGCTAGGTAATAGATGCAGGAGTGCCTCTTCTAGAAGATAGGGAGGCTCCTGAAATCTGTCCTTGTCCCTTAGGGTTTTTGGCATTTGTGGGTAGTTCCTCTGTGCCTTCATCTCCTGCTCTCTCCCAGCTGTGTCATTTGCTTATGGAAATCCTAGGCAACCTACTTGATCCCTATGATATGAGTGAGATGCTATGGTCTTTCATTAACCCTTGACTTTGCTCCTAAGTTATTCCTCTTTGAGGGAGGATAGTTCTGGCTTCTCATGAACAATGCAGGACTTTGAAGGAAAAAATATTTATGTTTTAAATCAGTAGACTTTGCGCTAGTTCGGAGTTTCCTAAACTGTCTCGGTTTATGACACCACCATTAGTGTCTTGATAACTTTTCTATAACACCCCTGGGCCAAAAGAAATACCAAAGCGGTGCCTGGGTGGCTCCGCTGGTTAAGCGCTTCGCCTCACATCAGAATCGCAGGAGCCCCACGTGGCAGGGAGCCTGCTTCTCCCTCTCCCTCTGCCTGCCACTCCCCCTCGTTGTGCTCTCTCCCTCTGTCAAATAAATAAATAAAATCTTTAAAAAAAAATACCTAATAGTTCCATTTATTAAGTTATCAGATTCAAACACCTTAATAAATATTTGTGTTTTTTTTAAAGATTTTATTTATTTATTTGACAGGCAGAGATCACAAGTAGGCCGAGAGGCAGGCAGAGAGGGAGGAGGAAGCAGACTCCCTGCTGAGCAGAGAGCCCGATGTGGGGCTCGATCCCAAGACCCTGGGATCATGACCCGAGCCAAAGGCAGAGGCTTTAACCCACTGAGCCACCCAGGTGTCCCAATATTTGTGTTTTAACAACCAAGTAGCTACTTGTAAAGCCAGTACATATCCCTGAAGAATACTTAGTTTCATTCTTGAACTACAAAGATTGTCAATGTGTAGGCGTGTTAGGCACTGCTTCCCTTCGCTGGCCTTGGAATCAGTCTGGACACTGCCACTCTCATTTCCTGTTCTTCATTGATTTTCATGTGGTATTTGCTTTTTATTACAGCAACTGCTGAAAACCGGCTTTCCCAAAAAAGAAATGTCACCGCAAAGAGTGTAGTGTGATCTAATGAAACTGTGAATCACCCCGAGGTAGTCATGGTGTCCAACAAATGCTTCTGTGCTGTCGTTGAAATTTTGCTTAAAACTCTCTGACTTCTTTGTGGGACCTGGGGTGCCTTAGGGTACAGTTTGGGCCATGTAGTGCTTAAGTGAAGGAAGACGAAAAACACATATTCCGTGTCAGGAACCCAAGTATGGTAGAGCGTATCGATAATGTGGTCAGTTTATTCCCTGAGACAGAGTACTGCAATGAAGATGCACGTGTTTTTTTGTCTGTGTAGTATCTGAATCCCCTTCCCACATTACAACAAACAAAACCTGTACTATACGATTCTTAGGTGGCAGAGCTCATCTTCCTCTACTGAATCTGAGTAGAACTGAAACCTCCTTTCTAACCTCCCTGAGTGAAGGCCTTGGTTCTTAGGCTCAGCAATCAGACCTGTGTTTCTTGGATTTTGAGTCAGAAGCTACTGATGCAGACAAAGGGTCAGGAACGTTAGGGAAATTTTTCTGGCTGTGTGGTTTTAGTGTGCACACTGGGAACGGAGGCAGGGGTGGGGCCGATGTTAGCGCCGGTGGTGTGGATGTTCTCGCCAGGGGCTCTGAAATGTGGGTGTTTTCTCGCCGGACTGGTTCTGTGGCATGATTCTGGCTATGGCTTTGGTGCAGTAACCTCCCTTTTTATTTGCCCATTCTGAACATAGTTCTCTAGACTTCCCGAAGATATGGACAATCAGATATCCTTTCAATAACTTTCTTTCTCTGTTTAAATCATACCAACTACCACAAATAAAAGAATGTGACGAAAAATGTCCATGACCAGAGGAGAGGCAAAATTGTAGAAAGCATATTGCATTGACTTCACCAGTTGGAGCAAAGATCTAAGAAGCTATTGAGGTATGCCTTCTGGAGGCTCTGGAGAGTAACTAATAACCGTTGGTTACTATTTAGCCTTCATCCCTCAATGGCTAGAAAAGCTACATACATGGAGGGCACAGGTAACTTGGACAGATCTGAGAGAGGGAAAGACTTGGAAAGTTAGCACAGAATGCATCAGGCCCTATTAGGTGAGTTTTTTGTTTTGTCTTTCTATTAGGTGAGTTTTATTTATTTATTTTATATATATACACACACACACACACACATATATATATATATTTTTTTTTTTAGATTTTTTTTTTTAATTTGACAGACAGAGATCACAAGTTGGCAGAGAGGCAGGCAGAGAGAGAAGGAGAAGGCTCCCTGCTGAGCAGAAAGCCCCATGTGGGGCCCGATCCCAGGACCCTGGGATCATGACCTGAGCCGCAAGCAGACACTTAACCCACTGAGCCACCCAGGCCCCCCTATTAGGTGAGTTTTAAAGTGACCCACTTGTGGTAAGAGGGTTTGTGAAGTTCACGTCATTAGACATTACGCCCAGAAAAGGTAGGATGATACACACAACTGGGAGCTAGCCAGGGCAACAATAAATAGAAATCAACTCTGTGATACATGTTGGACTGATGAGAGGATGAATTTTAGGTAGAATTATCTAAGCAGGATGGGCAAGATTTACTTGGATGATGATGAATGCTTTTGGCAAACCCAAAAGTCATTAAATTTATATTTCTCACTGGCAGACATTCCATAAAGTCAAATCTAGAGGTGTGTGTTTAGGAAGCCAAATATCTGGCTCAGAAACAAAGGGAAAGGAAAGCAGTCCACCTGCCTGAAATGTTTAAAATTCAGGTATGTCTGCCTGAAAGAGGAAAGAAATAATATCGGAAATTAGAATCCCAGAAGCATATCCATGACTGAAGAAAAAGTTGTAGCAGGAAGAATTGTTCTGCTGTTTTGAAGTAACACAAGTTCTTTAAGATAAAAAACAAAAACAAAAACGAAAAAACAACTTCAGAGGTACAGCAAGCAGAAGACTTTTCTTGCCTCGGTAGAACAGACTAGGATATGCATTTTTAGCCTACGAACTCTGTAAAATAAATTGAATTCATTATTATTATTCTTTTAATTGACAGGTTGTTTGACTTTCATGAGATGAAGCAATTTCAAGTGTGACTCATTTTATCGCCTGGTGAGTGAAATCATGATGTCACGTACACTTGCCAATGTTAGGTACAGACTCAATGGACTTCCATGCTCTTAGGAAAGCTATGTTGTGGGAGTAGTTGGCAGAGAAGAGCCTCTCAAATATTAGGCAACACTATAATTTGTATGACTTATTCAAAAGTAATTGCTGATTATAGCAGTATTCTTAAAGGCACGTGAATATCGTTAATGTGAAATCTCATATCATTTCTCAAAACTCAATTTAAAGACAATTGCCTAAGTTGTTTTAATTATGCTTTAGTGTTCTAACCTATCCACCCATCTTGTTGACCTATTTGCTCTAGATCAACTGTCCTGGGTGTGTATTTTTTTTTTTAAAGATTTTATTTTTATTCATTCGACAGAGAGATCACAAGCAGGCATAGAGGCAGGCAGAGAAGGGGGGAAGCAGGCTCCCTGCCAAGCAGAGAGCCCAATGCGGGGCTTGATCCCAGGACTCTTGAGATAATGACCTGAGCTAAACGCAGAGGTTTAACTCTCTGAGCCACCCAGGCACCTGTGTTTTTTAAATCAAGTTCTTGTGCACTAACTCTTTCTATCATGGGAAGAAAATAGTTTCAACAAGCAGAAGAAAAAAGTCTTACCTTCTTATAGTACTAAGGGGATATAATACTGTTGAAATTATGGCCTGTGAGTTTGGATCAAGATTCAATTATTAGACTTGTTTTTCCTTCCATAATGGTCAAAGAGAAGGAAACCGGAAGTTTGGAAAAGAGCTCCTAGAAGTTAAAGGAAGTTACCTCATAGGAGATGCATACTGATTCCATGGGTCAGCCAACACACATGAGTCTTCCTCCAACTACTTGGCATAAAATGTTTAAGAGAATCATCCTTATCCCTTTTGCAAATGGATGTGAGTGGAACTCTTTATGTCTGATAACAGCTTGCATTTCCAGTATGATATCCTACCCTTTTTTCCGTAGACTCTAAACAACCCCCATCCTTTCGATTCTCTTTCCACAGTGGAACTTTCGTGACTCTGTCCTTTGCTCCTGCTTTGTTTCCTTAAATATCCTTAGTCCTCTTCCTCTTAAGTACAGAGTTCTTTCTTCTGTCATGTGTGCCCCCATGGCATTTGGTTCATATATGGCTCTGTAAGCATAGGGTCTGTTTTATTACACTATTTCTGTTACTGTCTTTACCTTCACTACTTGCTGAGATTCTTTTCTTTTTTTAATTTTTTTTTAATTTGACAGAGATCACAAGTAGGCAGAGAGGCAGGCAGAGGGGGGGTGGAAACAGGCTCCCCGCTGAGCAGAGAGCCCAATGTGGGGCTCGATTCGAGGACCCTGAGATCATGACCGGGGCCGAAGGCGGCAGATTAACCCACTGAGCCACCCAGGTGCCCCACTTGCTGAGATTCTTAAGTGCAGGGGACGATTGTTTAGTCATCTTTGTTCCTGCCACGTTGCAGGGAAACGCAGAATGCTCTCAAAACGTCCATTCTCGTTCTATACATTTGTGCATGTGTATGCTCGAACTCATTATCTAGAATGTTTTAAGCTTGAATGCAGATGTTTGTCCTGGTTTTCACTTCTGTAGCTACGTGTTGTGTGCGATAGTCACTTAAATTTGCTGGATGTTTTGTCCTGTTTATTAAAAGTTGCATTTTTCTAGGTGACTTCTAAGATGCCTTACATCTTTAGATCCTAAGTGTGTCTTACATCCTAAATTTGTAATGCAGGCCTTTCAGTGTGACCTCGGGTTACTTAATCTCTTCTTACTTAATCTCTTCATTAAATGAAGAAAACACTTTCAGATTCATGTGGTGGTTGTGAGGATTCAATGAGACAACATTTGGAATAAAATTTTTTTTTTTTAAGATTTTACTTATTTATTTGACAGAGAAAGAGAGGGAAAGAGAATAAGCAAGGGGAGTGGCAGGCAGAGGGACAAGCAGGTTCTCCCCTGAGCAGGCAGCCTAATGCGGGGCTTGAGCCCTGAACGCTGAGGTCATGACCCGAGCTGAAGGCAGATGCTTAAACTACTGAGCCACCCAGGCACCCCTGGAATCGATTTAGATTGGTTCAGCAAATACATGTTCACTGAGTATGTGCCTAGGAGCCATGAATTGTGCTGGTCCCAGGATACCGTCTGTTCAGTGGGAAGTTACAATCTAGAAGCCTTGCCTGGTAGATAATATGAAGTCATTTCCTTCTTGTTTCCTCTCCCTGGCCTATCAGTTATCAGTACTGGAATTTGGAATGGAATGGGGGAGACAACATTAAATTTTTATGTTTATTTCACCAATGATATTTACATCCAGAGACGAACCCTACTTTGAGAGCTAAAGTTAAAGCTCATGTCATTCTTTAGTAGGAAAGGGAATGACATGATTTGGCAACAAGGCCAGACGAGAACAGTCGAGATCAGATGGGAGCTGTGTGCTCTCAAAAGTATGTTGTGGGAGTAACTAGTCCAGTGTTCTTTCAGCCTGAGAACAGCATTTAAGATTTCCTTATCTTATAAAGGAAAAAATCATTTCTGTTTAATCAGCAGAACCGAGTAAACAACAGGGACTACTTTTTCGAATGCAGCGGTTTTACGTATGTGTTACATACGACAAAACAATTGCATAAGAAGGGTATGCTGTTGTTTTCAAAACAAGCCACCCAGTGGGTTTGGCCTCCAGGAAAACTGCCTACACATTTTCAAAATGGACACTGGCCATCAGTCTTGACACTTCCATCCTGCCATACTGGTTTGCCTCACTTCGCCTCGTTTAGCACCAGGTCTCTGTGCCAGGCATCTCCAGAGAGCTGAAACTCTGGCTGTTGAACACCACACCCCTGGCGGGAAGGGAACAATACAACAATATATTCACAAAGATGTGCTTGACAACAATTTTTTAATTACCAGGATAAGAGGGGCGCCTGGGTGGCTCAAGTCTGTTAAGCCACTGAGTCTCAATTTGGGCTCAAGTAGTGATCTCCGGATCGTGAGATCGAGTCCCGAATCCCTGTCAGGCTCTGCATTCAGCGGGGAATCTGCCTGAGATCCTCTCCCTCTCCTTTTCCCCCCTCCCCACCTTTCTTAAAGAAAAAAATAAAATCTTTAAAAAAATAAAATAAAATACCAAGATAAAAAAGTCAGAAAACACTGGCTGGATTTTTCTTTTCAAGTATCAGCTATTTGGCTGTTGTGGAGTTTAGCTAAGTCTGTTCATATAGTGAACTACATCAGTAACAAATGACGGGCATTTAGCTATCAAAGTAGAGGAAGGAATTCTGGGTAGAGGAGAAAGCATCTTCAAAAGCACAGAGATGGAAAAAAAAAAAAAAAGCACAGAGATGAAAGGGAGAGTTCAGCGATGTCAAGATGGGCAACGAAGCCTGAGCGGTGCCTGCAGGCAAAGCCTTGGTGCAGTTGTGAAAGGTGGGACGGTGCTCTGTGTGGGAGCCGCTGCGGGTTTGCAGGCAGGATGCTCCGAGTCTTGCCTGGGGGCTGGCATGGCGTGGCCCACTCCCCCAGTCTCCACCCGCAGTAGGACTTTCTGCCATGTCCACCATTTCCACCACTCCTGGTCTCCGGGGTCAGCAGGTGGGACGTAGAGGCCTAACTCTGGAGCGACATGACCTTTAGGATGCAGAGCAGGGGAAGAATCTCTGTGGTCCTAGTGGAGAGATCGTACGGGCGGGGTGCTGGCGCCTCAGCAGGAGACCACGAGGTGGCCGCACTGCACTGTGGCTCCTGGTTGCGGTGCCAACTGTCTGAGCACAGCGTTTTTCCTCACGTGCAGTTGTGGGAAGTGTGTGCCTGTGCAAATGTGATGAACTGAGCAGTGTGTCCGCTGATACCATTGTAACCTCAGTTATTTAATAGAAAGTCGGAGTTTAGTTTATTCAGAGAATTGAAGTTATTGGTTACCCCTTCTAGACCTATCATATTTAGCAAAGAAACTGAGGAAATCTTGTCATCACAGATGTATGTGAGTAATGGAGATTAGGGAGGACTCTTCAAGATCTGCTCTTACTTGGTTGGGCAACTTTGGCTCAGGGCATGATCTCTGTGTCCTGGGATCAAGTCTCAGGTCAGGCTCCCGGCTCAGCTGGGAGTCTGCCTCTCCCCCTGCTCATGTTATCTTTCTCTCTCTTTCTGTCTCAAATGACAAATAAAACCATAAAACAAACAAACAAAAAGAACTGCTCTTACTCTACCGAGAGGTGACAGTGCAATAAGGGGAACTGGACATGACTTGTCTAAAGGAAGTTCTTTCTTCTCTTGCTGGTGGTTGGTTTAAAAATTGGTATGTGACCCAAATCTAGTCAATGAGATACAAGAAGAGATTGCCTGGAGGCATTTTGGAAAGTTCTGTCCTCTTTTTGAAAGTGCTGATGAGTCACCAGTCTCTCTCCTGAATGTGAACAGAAAGCACTTACCTCTGATTGGTACTGGAAACCATCTTCAGACTTCAAAGCTAAATCAGTTTAAAGCTCTGAGCTGAGAATAAGAACAGAAAGAATCAAGGTCTGGATGTCATGAGTGAGCCTTTGAAATCCATTCGACCTTGCAACCCATTCAAACTCTGGCTTTCCAGTTAAGATCATTAAAACATTTCTTTAAACTAAAAGGGTTTAAATATATATATGCTTCTTTTCTACTTCATGTGGAAAATGTCCCCTTCAGAATCATGCATGTCAGCTCTGCTGCTTTCTCCTCAGTCATTCCCTTGGGTCTTGGGTCATACCCACTTAGAAGATTGATACCTAACTGATATGTGTCTTCTTTACTCCCACCATTTTTGTTGGTAACTTCAATATCCTTGGAATGTCATGTTCAGTCCTCATGTCATGGATGGTGAGCTCCTACCTTAATGACCTTTACCTCTATTTCTCTTCAGCCCTCCTTTCCAAAGACACGTTATCTTAAAATCTGCTACTCTCCTCCCAACTAAACCTGTTTGTTTTCTTGCTTCTTTGTTTGTTGGTTGAACATCATCACACCCTTCTAGCTCTGGCTTTCTTTC